GTTATAATTATTAAAACTTGACAAAAGAAGTTTTTAATATACAACGAATTGATTAATTTCAATATTTTTGAGACCACGTAAATGTGAGGCCTAAATGCTGGCTCCCCTTTGATAATCGAAACCACATATATAATAATCTGAATAAAGTACTGCTTGGGGGCCTCATAATGAGGGATTATAGCTCCATTCTTTTAAATGTACTTAATGGAGGGGAAGTAACGCTATAATTGGGGCTTTGACAAATTAAATTCGGCCTGTATTTAATAGTCATATAACTATAGTATTTTTAGTTTTTGTATACAGCTTAAAACACTTTTTAAACAGTTCTAAAGTGTGTTAAACTGTTAAAAGAACTAAATATTTTTAATCAATTCTGTACAGTATACGGAAAATGATTCTTGAGTGCATTGCCTCTTACAGAACACAATACTATAAAAATAAAAATGGCATTTCGTGTAAAGTTTTAAAAAAATATACAGTATATATATAAAGATTTTTTAAATTTAATAATTTTAAATTTGTTCTATTTAAACTTCAATATATTTTTTATATTATTAATCAGATAACCTTACAATTTCTCTCTATAGCAGAACAATTATCATTTTTTTATATTCATAATACAATTGTAAATTAATCACGTAAATTTTCGATAATATATATATAAATATTATTTATAATTTTTTGTGTTTATAAATTTCGCAATAATAGGAAAATATTTAATGATATTTGATGTGTTTTCGTCGTCCACGGCAATCACTCGTCTTCATTGTGCTTAGAAGTAAATCGATTGTTACGTTAATGTTGCTACTGTTTCAAAATTTTCAAATAGTGTACAGTATAATAAAGTACAACCGAGCGTATACTAGTGTATTTTTATGTACGCTTGAGGTTATATACTGTACTTAACTGATTGTTCAACATTCTGTAAACAATGCCCTTAACGTATGCACCCTGCTGATACATAATTTATTAGGCCAAGATAAATTAGGGCCAGCTAGATCAATTTGATCCGACCCCGATACAGAAATAGCCCAAAAATTTAGTTTTTTGTATTATATTTTTTAAATTTAAACGTGTTATAAAGATTACACAGTAAAAGGTTACATAGGTCAAGTGTCTTCATGGAATTCTTTGGATGATGTATTAGTATTTAAACGAATGGTCATTTACGAATCTTGTATGCACCAGGATATTACAAAAGTATATGTGTTTTACTTTATTGATTTTCGTAGAGGAATCGTGTGAATAACCCGAGCCCCACGCCACCTCTCTCAGGTCCCACTGGCATGTGTTTAAAATGTACACAAATATAACTAAATTCGTGATTTCTCGGTGGTTACTTCCGACTACTATTATAAATTGATCAAAAGAAAAGTCACGTGAACGTTACAAAGCGTGATTCCCTTCTTTGTAAGTGGAATCACGTTATACTTTTCGGGTAGTCGAGTACGTGACGTATGTCGTGTTTAATTTTCGGTGTGAAATTCCATGTTTGTACATTAATCCAATAATGCTGATATCATCGGATTAGTCAAATGTTTTTTTTTTTGTTTCACAATATTGAATTTTTTTTAAAAACTTTCATTATTCTGGGTAGACTTAACGGTAGAAGACACCTTTCTGACATCCTGCTTTCTTTTATGCTAATTGAGCTTGATATCAAGTTTATATAACACAATTACATATTCTAAAATGTGATTAAAATCTGGTTGTTTTGTCCGAATTCGTGTTTTTACGTTCTTATCTAAAACTTTTAGACTTAAATAATGTGTTACAACAACGTCGGTGCCATTTTTATGAACGTTATTCTCTAAATAAGCCTAAAACTGAGCCCAGTGTTAGTGTCTCATATGAATCATATTTAAAAAATAAATTCAGCATTAATACATTCTGTATGCTAATAGACCTATATAGCACATGTTTATACATGGTTGTGCTGATTCATGACCTTAGATCTATGTGTTTTGTGTGATGTACTGTACAGTACAGCACATTGTGTACTCAAAATCCACGTGACGTTCAAACATGCTTACAAAAAGTGTTTATCCTAAATTTGCCTTTTATAATTAAGACACTACATTCTACCAATTCATTCTAAACCTGTATGACTTATATGAGCTGGAATTGACATGTTTAGACAAGTCTTTACTTGTCTAAACATGTCAATTCCAGCTCATATATTTATAAGTCATACAGGTTTAGAATGAATTGGTAGAATGTAGTGTCTTAATTATAAAAGGCAAATTTAGGATAAACACTTTTTGTAAGCATGTTTGAACGTCACGTGGATTTTGAGTACACAATGTGCTGTACTGTACAGTACATCACACAAAACACATATACGTTTAGACAAGTAAAGACTTGTCTAAGCGTCTATTTGTAATGTCTCCTATATAGAACTATATATATATATATATATATATGTTCCTACTGAGTGTAGGTCAACTTTATATAAAGTCAGAAATTTATATACATTTATATTGCAACAGATATTATTCGATAATTTAATAATTTTCATACTTTTATGGCATCAGTGATTTTGAGGACAATTGCTTTTAGTGTACAACGAAAGAGCGTAACCATTTAACCACATTGTTTCTGCTTAACTTACATGTTCTAAATCAGAATTAAGAAATAAGCGATTGTTTCAAACACTGCAACAAACAGTAAAGGAAGCTGATTGTTTTATAATTAAATCCACTCTGTGTGTGTGGTGTATGTTCTTATTATTTATTATGGCGACGATTTCACTCGCGTTTTATCTTACTAAACTGGTTCTTGAACGTTAAAGTATTGTTAATACGGATTATAAAGGATACAAAGATGATTTTTATCATTGTTATTATTGATTTATTGTCCTAAATATTTTTTCGCGTGTTTTTTTATTTCGCAAGTTTAGCCTTGTTTCTCTTATTTATAGTTTATTATATATATATATATATATATATATAATGGAGGAATAATGGGAGAGGAAGAATTTATAAAAAACATGTTTTTCTTTTGTTTGCTTGTGAAATGAATAAAATTGTTCTAAATAAATACTTTCTACTCATTTGTGTTCAGTTTATAGTTCAATAGAATTTTGTTTGAATAAGTAAGCTCACAATTTCAAAATTTTATGTATAAAAAAACGTGTTTTATAACTAAACTTTTTGTTTCTTATGTTATAAAAATGTTAAAAAATATATTTTATATATTTTAATTATATTTAATATTCTAAATTTAATATAAAGAATGCATATATTTATCACAAAGAGCATTTTTATTATCTTATCTTGCTAAAAAAAAAAAACAGGTTTTTTATAAGGTGAAATAATATATAACTGCTCTAAAATATATTTTAAAAAATATTTCTATAAATTATTTTTCTTTATATCATAGTTATAAACATAAGAGATTCTTACAATTTCACTTTAATGTGTAGGAGGTAGAAGTAACAGTAAGATTTTAAGTAAGATAAAAGCTAGAAAACATTATCAAATTTCAAAATTATAAACAAAATTTATAATGTTTTTTTTTTAAATTATAATTATTTTATAAGTGTTTTAAAATAACATTAAAATTTTTTTAAAAAATTATCAATTCCAATTAAAGATTTTGCTACTGCTTGTTAAATTATTTATATCAGTTTTTTTTTTTAATTTTTTACCTCTTATTCATAGTAAACAGTTCATTAGTTGATGTGTTTAACAATAATTAGAAGGGTAAATCTTGTTAAATATTATTCAGAATTATAATTGATGTGTCATAGTCTCAATACTCTATAAATTTTATAGGTTATATCATTTATATCTTACAGAAATTTATAGATAAGTTAGATTTCTGATAGATAATTTAACGGATATTTAGGTTTGTGAAGCATCTCCCATGCCTTAACTATATTAAATTAAGTGAAATGATATAAGATATATATGTAAGAATGTTAACATAGAACTTACATTACGTGCATTTTTATTAGCTTATCTTATGTAAAATATGATTTGTACAGGGCAAAATAATATAAAATATGTCTTAAAATAGTAATAAAAAATGAGATAATTAAACATTTTCATTGATATTTATGTAAAAATTAAAATTTTACATTGGATTTAGTGTCATATTTACATAGCTACTACCATAAATGAAATTATTTGATAAGATATCCTACATTTTACAGTTAAATGATATACATAAAGGGGCATTTGCATTTAATAGAAACATGATATGAATTTAATTTTATATAAATGTCTTTTTCTTAAGGAAAGTAACCAAATAAAGATTTATATAGATCAAGATATAGGAAAACATGGTTTTATCATCAATCAAGGATAATGATGTTTGATGTTTTAAAGATGATTATTAATTTTATATTCAGGTGTTGTTTGTATACCATTTCTGTGCTGAGTTTAAATATGGTATTTTTCTGTGTATTTTTATACAATATCCTTACAATTATATGGCCTATGACATACAAATGTCCCATTTGACGACTGCATAATTGTTTTTATCTCTGTAAAACTTAAAAAATATGCTTTTAAAATGATATTTATATAATATTTCTCTATTTTTCTTAAAGATTTTTAAGTTTTTATGATTAAATTTTTAAAAAATGTATTAAGAAGCAAATTATCATGCTGTATCTGTTTTAAACAATATAAAGTACTGTAAATATTGTTTAACCGGTGTTGTTTTTCATAAATAAAGCAATAAAAAAATTATATAAACTAAAAAAAATAATTATTTCAAAATTTAGATAAAATTATTTATTTACATAATAAATTAACCACTCCTACTTTCATACATCACACTTACGTCACCGAATACTTTATAACGTCATTATTGTTAAATACAAACGTTTCTGTATAAAATAACGTTAAATTATTATCTCGATAACAAAATTAATGAAGAAATTAATGATATTATCGACTAATTATAATTATTTAAATTAATTGTTGCGCTGTAATGAATAATCCTAACCGGAACTTCCCGTAAGCTGCGGACGTTGTGCGAAAGAAGCCGAAGAGATATTGTAAAAAGCTACAAACTTTCATTTGTAATATAATTCGAGCTACGATAATATGAAAAAAAATAATGCCTGGAAGCGATATAATTCTAGGAAAGCATTTCTTGACAAGTTTCGTGATGGGGAGGAGCTTTCCCGTGACGTCACACTCAGCTGGTGAAACGACGTCCGGTTTGCCTCGCAATGCAAACCGGGTAATAAAGTAGATACAGGAGATCTAAAATGGCGGCACTGGTGGAAGGACAACAATATGGTCTTTCTTCGCAGGGGAATTTTTCAAATAATAAGACATTAATATTTGTTAAATTAACGGATTCTGCCATAAGAGCCATAGAAGATTGCATAAAATATCAAGTGAGTATTATATACGAGTAATATTAAGAGTTATTTAGTATAGTAAGTTAGTTGAATGAGTACGTATCTGGACACCTTGTCAATTCACAAGTTACAGGTTTTCCATTCTAATTTTCGTTTTCACACGTTTTACAATTAATTTAACGAGTCAATACGGTCGTGTGTGTTAAGTACAGAACACGAGTGAAATTGACTAATTTCTACAATCGACATTGTTAACGGGGAGAAAAAAAAATAACAAGAAATTCCTTCAAAGTGTCAGAACACTGAGATTATAAATCTCTATTTTATGATACATTAAACACAGCAAATTAATGAAGATTTTTAAAGGTTTAATAACTTGGACTTGAATTGATTAAGAAATTTTTAGCATTTCCTGGAAAATTCCAATGCTTAAATCACTTTTAACGCATCGTTTACTGTACTTTTCAATCCTTTCCAGACAAATTACTAGAAAAATAAAGAATTCGATTGGAAATTTCTAGTTTAAAATTTCCTAATTTGAGTAGAACCAAATATTAACTTTACAACTTGTATGCTTAACTTCATGTTATATAAAACTTCTATCATCATTCCCATATCAGCTGTTATTTAGATGTTTTTTCTTTTGTGTAGGAAGAATTCAAATTCGTTAAAATTTTCTGTTTGGTGTAGGTTTTTAGCATTTATCAGCTAGAAAAGCCTGGAGGTATTTTTGTAGACATATGGATGCACAGATAAGCTTGTATCTTAGATTCAAGTTAACGGGACAATTTCTGGAGAGAATTCTTAGTTTAATTAGATATAATCTGTTAAATGAAATTTGAAAAATAAATTTTCATTTAACATCTAATTTTATTTTTTTAAATGTATAAGTTATTTCTGCTTATTATATATACAATTACAATCAAATAAACATGATTGTATGCACTGTACATGCTAGAAAGAACAATTTTTATTGAATTTTGTAAAGTTATACTTGTTTGTAAATTTCTGATTTTGTTTCAGATTAAAAAAAAAACATATTTGAAATTATAACTGTGATTATTATTTTGGATTTGTTTCTATTAATAGAAACCTGTATTGAAATAATATAGCTGCATACATATATTTTATATTAAATAAAATCTGCAAAAAGATCTACTCTGCAGAAAGTTATACTATAAATTGTGAAATATAAAAATAGTTTTACTAGAAAATTTATAGGAAATATTTCCTAGATATGAACTAAGATCAAGGATGTTTTGAAGTTTAAACTAATATTTCTAGATATAAACTTCTCTATACATTTATAACCATTCTTTGCTTGCCATTTTTTTATGATTTTCTTTTGACTAGAATTTAACTATTAACAGCACTATGTATTATTTATAATAATTTATTTAATACATAAATTAAATTTTAACAGCCATTAATTATTATGAGAAAAGTTATACATCATAAATAATAATATAATGAAAACTGTATTTGCAGTTGTTCAAACAGCAAATGTTTTTCTTATTATTTTATAGATTTAGTAATTGCCTAATATTCTGATTTAATCTGTAATCATCATTAAAGTAATTTGTGTTTTTTCTCTAATTTTTATCAATGTTTTTTAGGGCTATTTTTTGAAATATTAAGATACAGAAGTTATATAATGTAGAGACTAACACTTAATTATAATAATTAAAAATAAGAATATTTTTGTTGTTTTGTAATAATTAATCCAAAATATATACTAAAACATATGTTTGGTGTCTAGTATCAGAATTTCTTTCATTAGAAAAATAGAGATAAGTCCTTATATAAGCACATTTAATTCAAAAACAATTTGTAAGTCCTAAAATAAGGACTTGTAAATGTATTTTTATTCTAAACTAGGTTTTTTTTATTAACTTTTTAATTAGGTATTTTTTCCTGTGAATTTTCTAGTGTTTGAATTCTTTGATGTTAGTTCTTGAAAATGTTTTTTTTTTTTTTTTAACAGGTGGTGGTATTTTTTCCTTTTTTGCTTTAGGATATTGTAATTTTAGTAAATTTTTAAATATTAAATGCTTTATGATAACTTGCTCGGCAATAGAAACAAAGTTCCTATTCAGATCATGATATCTAGTGTAGGTCTGATCCTGTACTCTGAGACTGTAAAGATGATATTAAAGAAAAACATTTTGTAGTTAAATGTACTTGACATGAAAAATGACTTTGATAATACTAATATTTAAAACTGTTATGCATCACTTTTATAAAATCTGTGATCTAGATTTTAACATTATTTTTGTTTCATGTACCTAGTTTTTTTGGTGAAATTGTATATTCCAATTATATCTTTTAATTTAGATTGCAAAGTAGTTTTCCAGATTTTAAAAATTTGGTCTGATTCATTAGTTTAAAATAGACAGACAGCTAGAGAAAATAACTCTACTTGTTATTTCTATATAATTTAAATTCATTTACGAGTTAAAAAGTCTCTTAAAGTAATTTCTCTGATATGTTAACTATTTATTATTATTATTATTACTACTACTACATTTCAACTAGAAATTTCATAGATAAAAATTTTGGTTCATACTAGATGTGAAATCCTTAAATGAATCTTATACTTATAGCTATGTAGTATCAGTCATTAGTAATTTGACTTAGTTATGTTATGCACAAGCAATTTTAATAGATCAGATTAAGTAATCATATAAGAGAGAATTAAACTTCAAATTATTTCAGGAAAACTTACAACAGAGATGTAGGCCTATTGTATTTAACACTGTTGCTTCTACATAATAGCAAAGTTCAAGTTTATAGTGCTGAATTTTTTACTGTATATATTTATAAAATGTAGAGAAAAGTGCAACTCCTATATGCATCTCATAAATATATACTGTGTGAACTTTTATGTAGTAATTCATTTAAAGTAATATATTGTTCTAGATGTAGATAAAAATATTAAAAGAATAAAAATTTATCTTTTAAATATACTTTATATAACTCTGCTTAGACTTTGTCTTTTGGATTTAGTATTTCTAATTAAAAATTAGATTATTGCATTTATTCATGCGATGAAATATTTTAATGGTTTGATCATCGCTGTAACATTTACTGAAGTAATGCAACTCTCAATTCAACATATCTGATAGACTGTAATTCTTAACATTTAAATTATTTTTATTTCTGAAATTTTAAACTTACACATTACACTGGAGACAAAAAAATTGTTTATTTTGTTAATTGACATTGCATTATTAAACATTGTTATTTATTTATTTTAAAAAATAAATAATGATAACTAATTATAAATTGTTTTTATATTTCAATGTAAAACAAAATTTAGGTACTGTACATACAATGTATGGGATGTTTTGTTATTCTAACCAATATTAGCATAAATAGGCTTGCCATATGTCTGAGATTATCAGGTCAGATTAGGATTTGTATGGCTTTCCAGGGTCTATAATGTCTGGGATTCCAAAATTATCATCAATAAAATACTTTGTGGCTTGATTATGTGCTTTTGTATTTTGACACACCATTTGGGCAGCGTAAAGAGGGAATGCACTGAGGGAACAATGAAAAGTATTTGAATCTCTTAGAATCATATTTTTCACAAATGTCATGATGTTAAATGCAGTATTTTTATATTTATTGTATTTGGAGGAAACTGTGCATGAAATTTAGCTTCTCTTAAAAAAGATTGACAATTGCAAACAATAAATAAATATTCAACTCAATAGCTAGGATTTTCTCATGAGGTTTATGGAATATCTAAATACAAACCATGCAGTTGAATGTCAAATAATGGCCACCTCTAAACAGCACCCATTTCTTTCTGGAACTGTTTTATCATTTGGATAAAAATGCATACAACATAGGCTCCAAACAACAGCCAATTTTTACATTTCTATTAGTAGTTGCTATACAGAAGTTTGACTATGTAAGTATTACAATAACTTTAACATACCAGTATATAAAATTTAAGAAAATTGTTGTAAACTTTTGCATATATTCTTTAATGTGTAGCTTAGGAAATCTATATGAATTACACTAATTAATCAAAATATGTTTAAATATATATATATTTTCTATCCTATGGGTTTTAAGAAGGTTTATTTGTCACACACACACTTATAGATTCAGCTAGGCCTATAGTGTGAGCCAGATAGTGGAATCATGCAATCTCAGTTTATGAAAATTTGAGGATATGCTCTATACTTGAGTGCAGGTTCCCAGAATTGCAATTTTACACATACAGTGACTATTGAGTATAGCTATGATTATTGGTTGAAAATAGTTTGATTACTTTGCTCTTGCAAATATAGTTTCATAAAAATTAGTAACTATCTCCCATTGAATCGTCATTGACGTACAAATAAAACTATCCATCATAAAGCATTTTCTGTCATATTGAAACACTTCCTATACTTTATATAACATACTTTTCCTATGTTCTATGAACATTTCCTATGTTCCTCTGAGTCATATAAATATTCATTAAGTTCAGAATTACTATGTATATGCATTTTTCAATCCATAAAATGTAACTGAAATATTGAATTCAGTTAAGTTAAAATTATATTAAAAGCTCTTATTTTAAATAATAATTAAGATATTAAGTTTAGAAGGGAAGCTGTTCAGATAGTAATCCATTAAGATTCAAAAACAAAATTTTGAAAATGTATAATTTAATTAAATTTATATTAATTTCAACACACACGGATATATGTTAGTTTTAATGTGTCTTGCAAAACCTTTTTTGATAAAAATGTACGCAAAATTTAAAGTGTCAGATAACATTATCATAAATTAAAAATAAAAATTATATAAACATAAGTTATATGATTTTAAAATTAGGTGAATTATTTTATACAAATTTAATATGGAACTTAATGAACTTTGTGAAACTTATTATAACTTGCTCATATATGTTTACATATGAAAATGGCAAATTTTTTATTGTCAGTAAATGTTTAATAATATTTACTAAACATATTTATAAATTGTTTTAGTTCAGTGTGAGTTAAATTAAATTAAAGTTATTTATAGCTAAATAT